GAATACCAAGGCCAGGCCTTGTTACCAAACTTGATTTCTTGGATGATGCTCGCAATCCTGCAATTCTGGCTCGCGGAGGCGTTGGCGTGGAAGTGCTACAAACACGACAGCCTTTTGACAATGCGGTCGTACTTGTCGTAGATCTCTCCTGGCAGCCCAAGCATGCTGGTCCTTCGTCGAAACTAAGCTGAACTCACACGGTAATGCTTCACATGCAACTTGTAAAGCTCAACGTCGTTGTTCAACTTTTCCAACATGCGCTGATACCGCGGAGAGGCCCTTGAGACCTCGTGGACGGGCAACGGAAGCGCAACCCTCGTAGTTTCGAGCGATTCGCTCTCTGGTGCTCTTGGCGGAATCGCCGCAGGGGCTTAAGGCTCTGAGGGAGCGCTCTTGGAGGTACGGATCATTTTCAGGAGCCACTGAAGGAGCCGCAGCCTTGGGTGCCGGTCCCTGCGAACCGCTTCCCTTGATGCCGACTCTCCGTTTCACCGGTCCATTTCCTGCTGGAAAGCCTGCGGCTGCTCCTGGTTCCTCTGAGATGTCTTCACGCTTACATTTGCTGACCATATCCTCGGGCGATCCTACCTTTGCACGGTCATCACGGGTCTGAGCAGGTACCGAAGTCTTACTCTCGATACCACCAGGCAGAAGCCTAAAGACTGACCTACCCTTCCAAGACCCCGCAATCTTTGCGGCAGGATGCTCGCTGGAACGCCAATCGTCTTCCTGAGTCACGCTCTTGCCCTGGGAGAATCCCATGATCGTCTTGCGGTCCTGCGCTTGTTGTCGAGGAACTCCAACGGGACCATCTTTGGGTTTGTACTTCGCCTTCCTCATCTGCTTGTGGACACGGGTCATTTCCATCTTGGCCTCGTTGATCACCCACTCATCATCAGTCGCAAAGACGAAGTCTTTGGATACCTCTTCCTGAGAAGAGCTTCAACGGGTCTTCTAATGAAACCGCGAGAAGTAAGTGAGAAAACTCGACTGCTTGTGCTTGTCGAAACGAACGCTCCACATCAGACGACTGAGGTCGAGAAGGTCAAGCACGAGATATGAGCTAGGTGCTACCTTCAACTCCACATTGGTAATCCCCAGTTCAGGACTTCTAAGCAGCGCCTTGTCTGGATGGAGTTCGCATTGAAACCTCAGGTTGCGCATTTGCGGCAAGGACATGAGAACCGGAACATGACCCTGCTCAACAATGTCAAACTCCGTGGGCTGAACCATGTACTCCCGGTCGTTCGTGCGCACAACCAGCTTCTGGTTGCACTGCACTTTGTCGACTCGGACTTCAGGCCCAACAAATGCACCCAAACATAAACAACCAGTATCGGATGCTACATGCAAGCATTCAACGTTTCCCGACTGTTGGCTGGCAGGCGATTTCGGCTTGGAGAAAAATAGTGGGGGGGGTACAGCCGTGCATAGGTGTATTTCTGGAGTCATGTCGACATCTTTTTTGGCGGCATAGCCTGACAATTTGTTTGGCCTTTTTGCGTGATCAAGTCTTCTAGCGTATCCTGCAGATGTGGGAATGCTTGAATCCGGATATTTGCTTGCCTGGGCAGCGGGACATCCCGATCCAAATCTCGGATATCCCAGGTTTTGCCTGCGCTTGAAGGACGCCATATTTTGCATGCAGGCACATAAACTTTTTTTGGGACGGGTGCGAGCTGCGGGAAATCCCGGGCCCAGCAGGGTGATGAACCAATAAAAAGGGATTTGGCGCATTCCCGTGGAGGATGGAGTCGTCAAAACAGTACATTGTAGTGACCTATTTTTGTTAGCCGGATAGCCTACAGTAGACATGTTTTGCGAATTATATGTTTCAGATTCGGGCCGGGCAGAGACCCATCAGTTCTTGAGGCCATGAGCCTTGAGACTAATCTTTCTGCCATTCATGCCTGTGTGATCCTAAGAATATCTATCCCCAGCAGCTTTTTTGTCTGCGTTCTTTCTTGTCGCCCTAGGACTTGGCAAAGGTGAACTGGGACGTGGTCTCGGCAATGTTGTACCATATGCCACAATCCCGGTTCTCATGTCAGGTCCTGCGCGATCACTCGAGAAACCATTCTCGCACACCCCCAAGTCCAACACCATCGCGGTCGGCATCAAGGGCTGAGAGATGAAAGCCTCTTCCTCCTGCGTGCCCATGAATGAAAAGTTCACTGGGGTCGTGCGGTTAAAGAAGAACGTTGTGGCAGTGACTGTATGTCACTGCTCTGGGCAGCATCGGCGAGTTGCGCTGTTCCGTCCTTGAAGCCGGACTTCCCGTCCTTTCCATCTTCTCCACGCTTGCCCTTTCCTTTGTCCTTCTTTCCTTGGCCTTGGCTGCATAGGACTCCTCGGACTCGTACCATGACCAATCGTCCGAAGACTGGTCTTGCCATTGACTGTCCTGGCATTGTCCGTCTGCTTGCCAGGCATCTGTCTGATCATCGGCAAGATTCGGCTTGCCTTTCCTCTTCTTGAAGAATCGTCTTCCACTGGATCGTTTGCCACCTTTTCCTTTGCATTTGCGGCGGCCTCCTTTGAATCCACGTCGCATCTTGCGACCTTGGAGGCATCTCTGGAACCATTTGTAGTTCTCCTCCTCGTAGACCCAGAAGGCGTCCTCGTCAGCTTTCAGAGACCATGACCCTTCTGCGCCGTCCTCTTCATCCTCGACCCAACAGCCTTCATGATTGTCTAGGTAGCCTTCCTCAATCGCCAAGAGTGTCTTTCTGCCCCCATGACCAGAAGGTGCGAGGAGAGGGTTGTCGACGGAAGTCTTGGTCGTGCAAAATGTCTCCAGGTAAACCTCGCAAAGCTCATTGAGGCGGTAGTCTGCCAGCACGCGGTTCCGATGGGACACCAATGAAGTCAAAACCTGCCGCTGATCCTGCGTGAGGTCGGACAAGAAGGCAAAGATAAGGGCAACCAAGTTGGCCGGGCCGTTGGCCGTGATCGGAATCGTCCGAGCATGCTGATTTCTGAGCCGATTGTTGGCTCGCTCCATCGCATCTTCAGGGGTGATGTCACCCTGCTCTTCGGGGGGAAGTCCTGCTATGAACGCTCGGACCTCTGCATTGTTTGGGTCCGTGATCGGAAGGTAGGTGTCGTTGAAGGCTTCCTGCATCCAAAGGACAGAGAGCTGAAACCTGGTAATCCAACGAAGCATGTCTCCATTCCCGCGGTGCAAGTTCATGAACTGCTGGAAGCGCTAGAGTCCGCTAGAGGAACACATTCATTGCGCCCTTCACGAAGAGTGGCCTGAGGAAACTCTTGAAGTACTTCACTCCGTTGTTCGGATCCTTCAGGCGGTCCCTGTCCAAATGCCTCTTGTGGATCGCAGCTTCACCTTCCAAACGGTTTAGCAAAGCTGGTTCTCTCTTATCATTTTCCAACTCCGTGATATCACACCAGTCATCGATCGCATCATCATAGGCAAACCAACTTCCTCGTCTGTCTCAAGACGGCGGTACTTTGGTGGTCACCTGCTGGAAAGCTGGGAGACGGTGTGATTCATTGAGATGACGATGATTCGTCGCATATGATTCACTTCCATGAAGGAGGTAGTCATCATCTCCTTCGCCATGCTCATACGGCACAGCAGAGTGGCTAGCCATCGCGCTGTCCACGGATTGAGCCCCGGCACAAACCTGAGCGAAGTTTGCCGCAGAGACTCTTGTCACCTGGACTTGTGTGAAGCACACCGAGGATCCAGTTGCCTCGGTGTGGCCAGCACTAACGGGTACCTTCACCGGCGTGAAGTTTCCCGTTTCCGGTAGCTCCGCAACCACTTTGAGATGTAACCTGGGCATGTATCCCCTTGCTAGGCGCACAGGAGTTGTTCCACGCGCACAGCTGTAGCTCGTACTCTGCTAGAACCGTGAGCGACAGGCAAGGATACATGCAAGTGATACGTGAATCAGACAAGCACCTGAATAAATGTGTAACATTCAGTGTTTCACCCCCCCCCCTGGTATGCCCACCCCCAGCCCACCCCGTACCCCCAGGCCCAAGCCAGGCCCCTCATCCGAGTAAACAGTCGCAGGCAGGGATGGTGCTCGTGTGCATCATATTTCTCGTAACTGTCGACTCTCGCGCAATCTGCGCAACTTTGCGGCCGTGAATCTCGCAACCCTTCCCCTCCCTTCCCCCTTGCCCTCCCCCTCCCCCCACAAATTAAATTGATGGCGATGACAGCGTGGACAATGACGCTGATGTGCATCTTGCATGCTGGTATTGCCAGTGTTGCTGCTGGCGGTACATCTGCTTTTATGTTGCTTTGAGCTTCATTGCCGCATTTTCATTGCTTTATCTAGTTGAAAATCGTGCCTGGCTTGTGATGTTGTTGCGAAGATTGTACCGTTTGTTGTCATTCCACACCAAGTTCCGTTTGAGCACGTTTTTGAATGTTTTTCATTCGGGAATTTTGGGCAACGTACCGGAGGGGAGAGTGCGGCTGCTGGGGATTATGATCACCATCTTCGTCATCATCATCATCATCATCATCACCGTAATAGTCATCACTGTCACTATCAGTGGCTTTGCAGTTCAGGGCAGGTCGGACTTCAGAGGATTTGTATCATATCCTACGGCCCTAACCTTTAGCAACCGGACGCCCAACCAGGAATCGTCATGGAAGGGGGGGCAGCCAACCACAACCACGGGGAGAAAGTGAAAGGGCGGGGGGGGGGGGAGCAGCGCTGCATCATGTACAAATGGGTGTGTGTATGTAGTTTAGTATGTCTATTGATTTCATTTCGAATCACATGACTCGTGTAGCTCGATTGTTTGGATTGTTGGAGAATTCAGGGTTATGATACTTCTCGGTCACGGAAACCATCAAGCTTGTCCGAGTCGCGTGGAGCACGAAGGACCGTGCACAACTAGTCCACATGTCATGCATGCAGGTCGTCACGACATGGCATGTAAGTTTTAATTACTAACGCACCAAAATGCAGCACACAAATTGCAGGTCTAAGTTTGTCCTACATGTTCTCTCCCAGGTATTCCGTCACTCCTCCAGTGGTTCCGCAGAAGCTCCAGTATTTGGGCTTCCGGCTCTGGGACGAGGCACGGACCTCATGCCGAACCCACACGAAAGGAACCAAATGAACCCGAACAAGGGTCAGAGATTTAGTTCGGGTTTTTTATGGTTTTGAAAGGTTTGGGGGCTGATGGTTTAGGATACACCGCATGAACCTGCGCAGATTGTACGGCTCAGATCCCTTAGGGTTGAGGCGCCACCACGCTTGGTGTGGCTTTTACGCGCACTATCAGGTTTCAAGATTCAGGGCGCAAAAAGGTGCTTAGGGCTCGAGGATCTCTCAGAGGGTAGCGCCTACAGTGTCGGTGGACCTATTTGTCGGAAGGCCCCGTGCTTAGAGATTGTTTGCCGGGCTTCGTTGCCCGACTGATCCCTGAACGGCCCGGAGTGCTCAGGGTTGTGGTGCAGAATGTGGTTCGGGGCTTGGGAGTCTTAAAGCCTGAGCTCCACACGGTTTGGTTTGGGTTTTAGGGTTGTTTAGTTAAAGCAGGATTTTGCTGCAATGTTTCATTGTTAGCTGGTGGTTGCTGCAAGTGTTAACGAAGAGTTTAGAGTCGGGTATTTTTGCCATGACACCACGCCATGCCTCAAGCGACTGAGGCGTAACACCCTGAAAATTCAACCAACAAACCCCAAAGCCGCAACACCCCGAAACCTAAACCCCTAAACCATCCTCACCCTGCAATGGCCCAGTACAAAGTGTGATTTGTCACGTACATGTGTACATGTGCTTCTGTATCCTGGTTAGGATTCACACCATCTTTGTTTCACTTACGCAGCTTGACTGCTCAAGTACCGCTTACGCGAGTACCAGCAAAAGGTCCGCTAGCGCTTGGGAATTCTAGTGTTGCCTTTCCGCTGAGTGTCGAACTAACGGCATTAGTCTCTGATCGTTCTTGCCTTGCTTGCTTTGCTGTGCTTTGCTACGATCTACGATTGGTTGCCCTGAGCTTTGTGACCGAGAGTTAAGTGGATTCCTCTGCTTTTCACAGGTTATCAGCCGTATATAGGACCTCTGCATCCGATTGTGGATTGCTGCTTCGCTGCTGCTGCTTAGGCACTCGGAACGCCTGATCCAATCAGCGTCCGATCACTACCGTCTTCCTGGCTCAGACCAAGTTCGGAACTTGTGGTTGGCCGCGCCACCGAGAGAATGGCGACTCCGATCGGTTCTCCTCATGTCCCTTCGACTGTCGGTTCTTCACTAGTGACGCCGGTCGCACGGGATGTCGTGGAGCCCGATGAAAGTGCCCACGCATCTCGCTGCACCACCCACGCTTCGCAACGCCTGGCACGATCAACGCCGGCACGCTCGCTGCTCCTGCCGATGCTCGTGCTTTGCCTCCGGCCTCCGTTGCCTGCTTTTTCTGCGTCCACTTCTGCTTCCACGCACACCAGTTCACGCACACCCTCTTTCCGACCGATCTTTCTTCTTGTCCTCTTTCCCTTCACGGGGATCCAGAGGGCGCTCGGACTCTTTGCGGGTCCGGGCCAGACGACCGTGGTCCACCAATTTCGGACCCGGCGTCTTTCCGCCCGCCGCGTCCCGCCGCGTCCGATTCTTATGGGCCGGCGGCAGGCCGCGGTGGAGCCTCGCTCCCCGCTGTGCCAATGAGCGAGCACCAACATGCACCCCACGATTCCGGCGCAACGATTAACGCGCTGGGTCGTGGTGGTGCCGCCCCCGCACACGATGTTGGCGGGAGGCTCATGGGCTCTTGTCCCGACGGGGCCCTGGTGAACGAGGCTATCGGCTCTGATGCATCCGCGCGTATCGCCGCCGATATTCTGGCGATCGCGCAGGGTGTCACCAACACTCAGGCCGACCTCGAGATTTTGAGGAACGGAGTCTCGGATGTCACCGAAGTGCTTGACAATAATTCCCGAGACATGTGGGAGCTTCTTCCAGCTGAGTTAGGAGATGAGCAGGATCGACTCACGCTCGTCCAGGACTCGATTCGTGAAAAGCGGATTTCCGATCATGAGTCACTTGAGGCTCACTTCGCGAGGCTCAACTCGATGGTAAACGATCGATTCATTGAGTTTGATGAGCGGATTCACCGACTCAACGAGAAGCGTGCAGGATCCTTGTCCATGCAGCTTGCTGAGACGATCCGCCACATCAAGGAGTATCCTGACGCGCTACAGCAAATTCAGATCAATATCTCAAATGCTGAAGCGCGCATCGCTGCGGTTGAGCAGAATGCCGCCAACCGTATCGAGGTCATCAGGACAGAGATGAGCCGAGCTCTTCACGATCATAAGGAGAGTAATCGTGTTCTCATGGATCATCTTGCTACTCGAGTCCTGCATCTTGAGAACGCCCACGCTCACAGGTCTGTTTCTGACAGATCGACTCCTTCGCGACAGGAACGAACCCAGTTCTTTGATTTTAGCGATCATGACGGTGATATCCCACGTCCTGCGGACTTGCCGCCAGTTCCTGGCACATTATTCCCTGGCGGACATAGTACTGCCATTCCACGATCTTTGCTGCTAGGTCCGATCGATCATGGCTCTCCGCCTGGTTGCAATGCAGCGCCTGCTGAAAAGGCTTCAACAGTGCACTCTCAGACGGGTTGCCCGAATCTTGATGGAGATTTTGAGGCGAGCTCAGCAACGAGTCGCTGACGGACAACTCAGCGAAAGTCATGAGCAGAATAATCCTGCTGGGCCAATCCGACAGAATTTTGGCCAAACATCCGCATGTTTTTCGGGAAGATCACCGAATGTCGCCGTTCCTTGGGCAAATGCCGCTGGAGTGACATCGGGATGTGCTCAGAGCTTTGGGCCGATCTCGACGGACAATGATCTTCGTCCGGAGGCTCGGCCCGCTCCTGATGTGCGAATCTTTGCTCCTGAACCGAAGCCGAGCCCTACGTTTCCCTGCCAGATCTTTTACGATACACATACGGTTCCAGCTGGCAAGGGCCCATCTAGATGGTACAATGCCATGCTCGGGCGATCTAGCTTCGTCGGCGATGGTGTCGGTGCTCCTATCCTCCACAGTGAAACTGGCACGTACACCCTGGCGCCGAATGCTACCATCTCTACAACGCTTCGGCCAGTGCCGACCAACGATGCCGTGCCTCCGATGCCCACCTTTAGTGCAAGAAATGTCCGCCCCTGCGCCGAGTTCGGCACCGGCAGGACACAGTGGACTGCCGTTTGCTCCCTTTGGGCATGCCCCCGCCAAAGGAAAAGGAAAGACGAAGTCGCCGACCAAAGGTTCAGGAAAGACCGAAGCCGCAGACGCCCCGCCGAAGGGAAAAGAAGAGGACGAGCCGCACCCGAAAGGTTCAGGAAAGACCGAAGCCACAGAAGGAAAGCTTGTTGAAGCTGAGTCGCAGGGAGGTGATCAGGAACAGGCCGAGCCCCGGACCCCAGCCTTGAAAAGACAGCTGACTTGGTCGGACCACAAGTGCTCCGCCGCCAGCAACACAGCCGCACACGGTCATGTTAACAATGAGCAGATATACTCACGATTGATGCGATGACCGATCAGCATCCAAGGTCTTGCTGACTCAAATCCAAGAACGGTGTCAACGAGCCCAGAAAGTGCAGAGAAGAGCCTCAGCATGCATTATAAGCGAGTTAGGTTTCACAACATTTCCGGGCAGCCATCTATATATGCACCCGGATGAAAAGCCTTTAAAGACCCCGAACCCTCCCAACACCCTAAAGAGCCCTAAGCCCCAAAAGCTAAAACCCTAAAGACAGTTGAGGGTGTTTGGGTTTAGGGTTTCTGGCTTTATACTAGGGTTGCATATATGAGGAGTCCCAAAGACAAAGTTTATCCCGAGCTTTGCAAGCCATGCCGTCACCCGGTGCCCAAATCTCAAGGCCTGCTCCACGCACGGCCCCGTCGCCGGGAGATGTCGTGCCTGCTGCTACGAAGCCGCATGTTTGGAAATCGTGGCACATCCCTGGTCTTGTGCTTGAATGCAGCAATGCAACCGCTGAGGTAGCAAAGCTGAGTCATGAACAGATCGAGAAGATTCTGAGTATGGCCGAACCTGGTGAATTGGACTTGGGCTTGAGGAAGAGGCTCAACGAATCCATGAGACGGCGGTTCGAGAGTGGAGATGGACCGCTACTACACATCCAAACCCTAAACCCTAACCCTAAACCCTAAACCCTAAAAGTATTCTGAGACCCTATGGCAGGACTCAAACCCGGATTGCTCGAGAAATGGAAAGCGACCAAGGATCCGGTAGAGAAGTGCATGCCTTATATATAGAGCCTGATGCACACCATGCCATCCACGTTCCCATGCCGTAGCCACTTCACCGTGATACTCAAATTCAGCTTTTTGAAGGCATTTATTGTCCACAAGGACATGAATGACATCCAAGTTGAAGCCTTCTACATAGAGACAACCAGCTGCACTTTGTTTTCTCCTGTGTACCTCGCATGTATGGTCACCAGCACATATTCAAACTGAGGAAAGACACGGTGACGAACAAGGAGAACTGGATATCGCTTCCATTTTGTGAGCTTCGCAAGCTTTACACGACAGATGTTCAGCAGAAATTCTTGGAAGAACAAGTGGTGGCAAAACAGCGAGGCACCCCGCATCCACAGGCCGGCCCTTCGTCATCATGTTTCTCATTCATATAGACACACGTACACACGCACACACACACACACACACACACACACACACACACACTCTTGTCAGGACAAAACAAATCCCGAGATGCGAATTTACACGGTATTTCGCGACATCAAGGACTCCAGCCCCTTGGCTTCGATACATAGGTGATGGAAGTCCCTGCCTCTCAATTTCCTCTATAGAGAATTGTTTGAAGTCAGAAACATTTAATCGCCCGAAGCCCTGAACCCCAAACCCTCAAGCACATACCTCGACAAAGCCCATTTGTTTGTGCCAAGCCACAACGGTGAGACCGCCCAAAATCCCGCAACCGAACCCTAAACCCTGAATCCTACAAGCCCGAAAAGCCTGATGAAGCCCAGGTGCCAACAAGAAGGAGATCGGCAGCAAGACTTCGGCAGTCGCCAAATTGCCAGCCAACAAAGCTGCTCGTGCTTCCTTTGCTGAGGCTCTGCAGGGCAAGGCTGGTGCATTCGGCAGCCAAGGTTTTGGAGAAGCCGAGAGTGGAGGCAAAGGGAAAGGCTTCAAAGGTAAAGGCAAAGGAAAAAATAAAGGAAAGGCCGCCAAGGACCCCTTGTGTTGCTCGGCATCTCCCTCCCTCTCTCTCTCTCTCTCTCTCTCTCTCTCTCTCTCTCTCTCTCTCTCTCTCTCTCTCTCTCTCTTTCTCTCTTTCTCCGTCTCTCGCTCTCTCTTTCTACATCTCCTTCTCACTCTCACTCACTCTCTCTCCTCTCTCTCTCTTTCTATCTCTCTCTCTCTCTCTCTCTCTCTCTCTCTCTCTCTCTCTCTCTCTCTCTCTCTCTCTCTCTCTCTCTCTCTCTCTCTCTCTCTCTCTCTCTCCAGAAAGACCTACAGCAGATCCTCGCTTGACTAGGTGTGACTGTGCCACATGTGTTTGTGTCATCGAGTGGAATTGATTCAGGCTGCCATCCCTTGCCGATAAAGCGATGACGACGGCTACCAATCTGAAGAGCACAGGGTTGAAACGACAAGAGGCGACTTGAATGTGTACAGTCGTTGCTGAGCATCTCTGTTTAGTTTTCTTCGCTCCAACTTATTCAGGCCGATATCAAGCCTATGGGCGAGGTCAACGAGCAGTGCTACAAGATCCTGAAAGAGCTTCCCGCCACAACATATACGAGGGTGCACAGCAGATCTCCCGTGCATGCTAAGGAAAGTGTTTTGCAGGATGTTTTGAGGCTGTCGGGTGTACTGTTTTGCAAGCAGCTGCAGGTGCAAACAGCAGGGTTTGCAAAAGAGTGGTTTCTTTTTGGGGGGGGTCTTCCGTAGAGGTCAGACTCTGGGATCCCGGAAGTGTCGAGTTGGTTTACAAACGGTTTTGTAGAGTTTCGTTATAATTACTTGATTGTTTGTCTCTCCTGTAGTAGCATCAAACCTGACGCCATAAACTTGCTGCCTGGATTCCAACCCGAAACCCCAGACTCCCCAGACCCTAAATCCCAAAATCCTACAACCCCAGCTAGCTACAATACCTGCTGCTCCCGCCAGGAATATGCAGCTGATGTGAACCATGCCGATGGTGTGTTCCTGACCCATGAACGATGTGTCTCCGCTTAGCAACCGTAGTTTGCAAAAGTCTTGTGTGGGCTCGCAAACCACTGTTCTCATCAGGCAAAGCTGCCGAGAAACAAAAGCAGGAAAAACAAGCAGAAAAAGAGTTGAAGAAGCAGAAGACCGATGCCACCCTCGAGACTCAGCCCGAACAGGAGGATTGGCCAGAGGAAGAAGAAGAAGAAGAGGCAGAAGAACATCATGATGGTGAAGAGTGGGCTGACGATGGTGATGATGCTGAGGGACAAGATGATGAAGGGGCTGAGGAGCCACCGGAAAAGCGGGCCCGGGCCTGATCTACGCAGACGTTTTCGTGGCACGATCGTGCAGCGAGCACAAGTGCCTCGGCTGGGGTGGCGATCTGGACTGCTGGAGTGGGCTTTGCATGTGTAATGAGTTTAACCGTGTTACACAATCCTTTTACTCGAACAAACTCCTTAAGCTATACCCGGGGTGTCCTGCAAGCAACCTGCTATAGATGCAGTCTCAAAGGGATTGCCGGTAGCATTCATATGTGTCTACAAGAGCGACTCGGGGTGCAAAATGATCTGACCGGCTTGTCGAGAGCTTTATACAGTGCAGATGATCCACACGAATCATTAAGATCGGTTGTGATTTATGCTGTTGTGGCTGATCGCAGACCCCAACCCTCACGCTGCCGTGATTGGGGATAGCAAGCTTGCAATGAGCCCCATGTTGCAAGTCCCCTATGGAACCCTAGCCACACACATTATTCACTATTGAGCTTAAACCCTGGCCGATGCCCTAGTCCTTAAACTCCGAAGGCCTCTAGCCCTTAAATCCCACACATACCAACACAAACCCTTGAGCGCCAAACCGTGACCCATATATAAGACCCTATATATATATGTAAATATATATATATATATATATATATATATGTAGATAGCCCGAAACACGAGACCCAAAGCTCCAAAGGCCGAAACCCTAGATCCCAAAAGTCTTTCGCCAAGACTCAGATTTTCGATCAGTCTTGTATAGCCAATGCCCACTGCCTCGAGCGATGGATGGATCACAGGATACATTCAGGAGACCGTTCAAGATATTTTGAAGTTCATATCTACTGGAGGTGTACCTCGGATGCAGTTTGGAATCAGTGTGTATTAGGAGTACGGCAAGTTGCTTGGTTGTTGCAGGTCGCTACGAAGACCCTCCTCGCTTCTAGCAGCCCGCAGCCTAACACTGTTAGTTAGCCATGTCAAGCGCTGCAGCTTGCTACTCGGAGGATGAGTTCAGATTTATGTCGTCTCACATAGTACGATCGAGGTCGCCTGCTTGAACTACCACAAATGCTGGTGCCGTATCTTGGACTGCATCCTAAAGTTCAACTCAGAGGTTGGCGCCGGCACCCCACTCCAACTAAGGCCTGATCTGCTAGATCTAGCGAGGAAGCTGGATGCAAAGAAGACACAATGGGGACATGTCCCCGTGCTGGAAGCATGGTCTCTGAAACAACCGTGGCGACACTTGTTTGCAACTAAACCTGGCAACTTAGAAGCTACTAACTACTGCTTATATGCTTCGCATTTGAGGCAAAGTTCTTCCAGCACCCCACAAGATTTGGGTTCCCTACGAGTGGACCTTGGCTTTCCTACCTGTGATTTTCTAGGGCACATAAACATCAAGTGAGGTTAACTTGGACGCAGCTGGCAATTCAGGATCTGGCTGGCAAGAGCACTACATGTTCCTCCCTCACGAAGTGATGGTCCCCATCTACGATTTCAACCGTCAGCTGTTTCACAAGTTCTTTGGGAAACCAGAGCCCATCTGCGCGCAGAGATTCTTTGGGCATGCTATGCTTTCGTGATTTAATATGTGTGTTCCAGCGATAATTCGAAACGATCACAGGACATCCGAGAATACTGCCAACATATGAGAATGTTCGCTTCGCATTGGTGGTTCAATCACCCGGCTGCTCGGCTTTCTAATTTTATGCTGTGTTTCCAGGTTCGTACTCTACCCTCAGGCCCTTTCGGATGCAGAAGATTTCTTCGTACCTGTACGACTGTACGGAGACGGAGCTGAAAGCTACCGAAACTTGCTGCGCTATATATCCAACTGTCCGGAAAGAGCTATTGTTTTGCAAACTGAAGATACAACAGCTCTAGGTACTCAGAACTTCGAGATCTTAAAACAATTGAGTTCGTATTCTGTCGAAGGTTCGCCTCAAGATTCTTCTGAGGCTGAGTTGTATGTCTGGCAAATGTACCAATGAAGCCAGACACCTGATTATGAAGACAATCGCCTGGTCGCCCGAGGTTCTCAGCCGCCCAGTCCTTATAGAGAGAAGTGTCAGGTACCGAGTTTGGTTGTGTTTCATGTTTGTGTAACGGGGATGGTGTTTCGGGCCCATTCAAAGGTTGGCACCCTAACCAAGGGACATACCGAGCCTAGGTCAGGGAATTTATCCTTCAGAAGATGTGAACGGCGGGCAAGCGTTACAGGCCTCGCAAAAGCAAAAGGTGGCCGCCGCATCTGTGGTGAATACACTATCGTTTTGGATGGTTTCCAGATGGACCAAGAGTTCATTACCAAGTGTTTTGGATTGCAGAGCTTCTCGTTTGCAACCAACGGCTCGCGATTTAAGAGGTGAACTCTGCGCTTGCAATTAGTGGTCATGCTCAGATTCTAAGGAAACTACACCCGCAAGATGACATGCTACTACTGTGAGGCAGGATGTGAGCCGAAGGGTTTAAGGTTTCGGGTTTTTGGGTTTAGGGTTTGGTAAGCACCATGAAATGTTGCTAAATGGTCAAGGTTTGCGGTTCGTCATTCCTGCAGGCATTGCAATGGAATCTGAAGTATCCTCGTAGCCACGACCCGGAACCAAATGATGCTGAACTGTTGTTCACAAATTTTGGTCGAGCAGCCCGCCATCGCAACACGCAGCTCGCCATCATCGATTCGCAGAATTTAGCTGTTCTGAGCTATAGAGCCTATAATCATGTCGACTGAGGTTGTGTTCTGGAAATGATGAACTCATCAGGATCCATGGGTCGACTCCCTTCGCTGGGATGAGGGGCAACTACTGTCCCTGGCGATTCTTGCCAGCGTGATCAAAGCCTGTTTTCCTGTTTTGTCCCGACACGTCTAAACAAAGCTTAAGCCTTCAAAACATGTAAACCAGAAGTGATCCCATTAATTATAATGTATATACACTTATAATACACAGTATTGTAAGGTATCCTTCCCGACGTCATGCACATCGTCCACTTGGCTTGTTTGGTTGACGTGGTGACATCCATGCTTTTAGACCTCTCGGACACCCATTTCCCCTGGAAGGGCTCTTCCCGGGATAGTCGCCTTGAGCAAGGATGGCGAAGTTACAAGGGCTATTGTCAGAAATGGGGTATCGAGGACAGAGCCGAAAGGAGACTTTTTACGAACGATGCCCTGAAAGCTGATTTCGCTACAGTATCCCAAAAGATCTTGCGAGCTGCTGCAGCCAAGTATATGGTGTTTTGGCTACATTATCTGCTGGAAGATCTTCTGCTCTCGATGAGCGAGCCTGACCGGCCAGAACATCTGAAGTGCCCCAGCCAGCTAGTGCAGACTAAGTTGGCAACGTGTTGCTTTTCAGAGTTATTATAACCTTAAAATAGGTAACTTGTCTTTTTTTGTTGTTCTAATATTTAATCCTCATATACCCTCCCCCACAGGCCTAAGTTTTCTTTCCACCTGATATTCAAATATCTTGATCGAAATCCAAACTACAAATCCGAGGCTCGTTCTCGGTGTATTGACTGGGCTCATGCACTTGGAGCAGACTCAGATGGAGAATGGCCGGTACTTCACAGAAGATCAGTGCCGCTTGTGCGAGTCTGCTTACTATCTGTACCGGGCCTCTTACGATCGATTGGCTTCAATGGCCCCGGCCAATGGAATCCCTCGCTGGAAGGTGCGACCCAAGCAACATATTTTTGAGCACGAGGTGATTGACTTTATTGGCGAGTACAGATGCAACCCTCGCTACAGTGCGAACTATATGGGTGAGGATGCAGTGAGGCGAGTAAAGCAGCTGGCAGTGGCCAGCCACCCGAATCACGTGAGCAGACACGTGCTTTTGAAGTTGTCGCTGCAGTTCTCACTCCCACACCGCTGAGTTCGCAGAGGGAGGAAAACCGATCTCTTTCGCGCAGCTTCGAACAGCCCCGAACCAATTAAACCCGGAGAGCCCCGAACAAAGCGATCCGAATTCAGAAGCCAACACGGGACGAGTAAATAAATACATATATACTCATGCATTAATAGTACATATATATATACACTATATATATATATAATATAATATAATATAATATAATATAATATAATATAATACAATATAATATAATATAATATAAAATAATATAATATAATATAATATAATATAATATCATATCATATAATATAATATAATATAATATATATATATATATATATATAGATATAATATATATAATATATAATATATAGTATATAATATAATATAATATGTATATATAATATACTATAATATCTAATATATAATATTAATAAAAATATAATATCTAATAGATTAAGATAGAAAGATAATATTAATATTTATATATATAATAATATATTAATAATATATAATATAATATATATATAATATAATATAATATAATATAAAATATAAGATAATTACTAACATATACTTATATATATATAGATATATATATATAATATAATATATAATATGTAATAATATATATATATATATATATATACATAATATAATATAATATAATATCAGATAATATAATATAATATAATATAATGTAATATAATATGATATAATATAATATAATATAATATATATATATATATATATATATAATATAATATATAATATACATATATATACAGAAGAGGAGGCTGTGGGGCCTGCGTTTTGGCAACCCACTATTTTTAGTGATTTTGTGTGTTTCGGATGGTTGTGCGTGGGTTTCTGTGCCAGTTGGTCGCTCGTTTGGTGCGCATGCGTGCATGTTTTTGTTTCCAACTACAACATCAGCTCTGAATTGCTTCAAACCCGGCGGTCTGTTTATAAACACAGGGTTTGTTTATAAACAGTGCGTTTCGGTATACCGTGCTTTCAGCGTTTAGAGTTTGTTGGATTTGCTCGTTGTCTTTTATATGTACATTATATGATAGTTAACGAGTCTTCTTGTCTAGGTGTTGCTGGTTTTGCGTTTGCTCGTATTCATCGTTATATGTCGTGATGTGGCGGAAGCGGTCAAGGGGGGGGGAGGGGGAAAAATTAGTAAAAGGTTGGTTCTAGGGCTATCCCCATACCCCCTATATAGGCCCCTATACTGTTTTTTAACTTGTCTATCTCATTCGTTATCGTTTTTGTTGTATCCTAATAGAAAATCTTTATGTAGTTTTGGGGTAACTTTTGAATTATTCTAATTACCTACAACTTATGAAGGTTTATTATCATAAGGTTTTGTATAAGTTTTATCTATTACCCTATCCCAATATTTTATGCTATCTTACATCATAATCTTAGGCATTAGTTTCCTTCCTTAGTCGGTTTAAGTCGGGGTATTATGTATAATATTCTATATAATATTATGTCTAGGTTTCTGTGGTGGCTTTTGTCTACATTTATATTAATATTTTATATTAATATTATTATGAATGGCTTTAACTTTCATCTTCTTCTTTAAAGATATTATATGAATAACTCCATAAGGCATCAATATTAAAATAGTTTCTATAAATACCTACTTGTTTTTCAAAATATTGATAGAAAATTATGAGAATAATAATGCTTATTGTTTGTTCATATTGGTTTCTATATTTATAAACACTATTTTTAAAATCATAAGATACTCTAAGATGCTTAATGTCATAGTCTAATAACCAAAATTCTTTATATTTTTCAATCATTTTAATATGTTTTGTTTCATTCAAGAACTTGGTAAATAATGGTTTGAACCTACAGTTTGATTTATCTATTATGTCTTTCAAATAACTCTTTTTATCTTTCAAATTTGTTAGTTTCATGTATCCATTGTCAAAATGATTTAATATACAATGTATTTGTTTGTGCTCTATTGTTTCTAATGGTTTAGTTGAGTATTCCTTCTCATACTCATGCATTTTATGACAAAAGTTACAAGTTGTAAAAGACAAGATATTATTAGTAACATTACCATCAAATAAATTATTTAATATTTCATTTCTTCTGCTCTTGTAACTGATACAATATTTACACTTAAAATTGAAGTTGAATGTTTCCATTTTCCCTACTATTCTAGGGCGATTTTTCTTTAAGTAGTTTTTTACCATTTATTTATTAATTAACAATAATTCATGGCGTAAATACCGTTTAGGTAATCCTTCAAGAACATAATATTTATTAAGTTGCATACCGCATTCAACACTTTTAACTTGATAAGTTTGTTCGCTCCACCGGCTCCTTGTTTCTTTTCTACTTGTATAATTACCACCGCTTTTTGTATAGATTTTTACAGTATCGCCTTCACTGATATTAGGATAATTTCTTAAATATTTTTCTTTCAATACTGAGTTAGACTTTACTGTTATGTGGTTATCGTCTTTATGTGCTTCATTAGGAACTAAACCAGTCGTTGAGTGAACCATTTGTTTATTATATTTATCTAAGACAGGTTTTAACATTATTGTCCAAGCTCCTTGTTTATGAACTTGTAATCTATCACTTATCATCTTCTTTAATGTTCTTATCATTCTCTCGGCTACGTTAGCATGTGTTAGTGTGACATTATGTATAATTCCGTTATCTTTCAAATATGTTTGTAATATTTTATCATTAAGTGCCCCTTCATCATCACTATAAACTGATTGAGGATAACCCATTACCTTGAAACATTCCTTTAAGGCATTTAATACAGTTGGTCCATCTTTCTCTTTCATAACTACAACATGACATTTTTTACTAAAATTATCAATACAAACAAAACCATATAATGGATATTCTTTTTTATATGTGTTTGTATCTTTCATTAGACTAATCATATTCATCAAATCAACAGAATAAATGGCACGAGCAAAAGGAGCAGAAAAACTATTATATTGTTTATAACCGCTTCTTTGTTTTACTGATTGATTTTTTAACCATTCTTTAACTTCTTCTTGTGTGATTACCATACCTGCTTTTATTGCATCATCATATAAACTCTTAGCACTACCGAAGCCTCGCTCAATATCAAAATATAACTCAGATAATTTTGCTTCTTTACTCATCAATTAATATTATTTAGAAATTAAATAATATCAATTCCATAATAAGACTTTGTTTACTATTTTATCCGTTATTTCTTTTTCTAACTTATCTTCATAATTTCTTATACATCTCTTTGTTTTTTGATGCTTTGATTTATTGGTTCCGCTACTTATCATTCTTCCACATTTTTCACACTCATAACATCTGTCATTGCTTTTATAATATTCTTTAAAATATCCTCGTTCTTTATTAAGCTTATTATGCTTATCATTTGATAACTTTTTATTTCGCTTTCTTTTCTCTTCCTTGTTGGTTTCTTCTTCTGGTTCTTCTATTGAGTTCCATAATACATCAAATAAGTCATCATCAATGTCTATTTTCTTTCCGTTGTCCATTACTAAGCATGTCATAACTATCTTATATATTAATGCTAGGTTTTCTTTAAGTATGTTTTTTTTAACTTCTTATTGACCTAGCGCTTCCTCTGGAACTTCTGCTTCTAATGTATTCTATTGTTTCTTGACTTCTGCGAGAACTAACAACACTAATAGGCGGTGTTGCTTCGCGTTCAGCACGCGAGGACTTCTCCGAAGCGTCATCTACATATTCAATAGTTCTATCACTAGGAATGGAACTTTGCAATGTTTCAACAGGCGAAGAATTAATATAATCACTTAATGCTTCTTGTTCAAGTGGCATTAAAACACTTCTGTTTGAACTTCTTATAGAACTTGAAGAAGATGATGAAGGCTCATAAGATTTCTTAACATTCATAGGTAAACTATTATCGCTATCTTCACTTTGTTGTTTCTCTATAGATGGTTCACTTGTTATTTCTTCTTCTATTTGCTCTCTCCTATTTCTCATTTCTTCTCTTTCTTCTTCAAACTCATCTTCTCCAAACATAGCATCATAAACTCTCCTCATTACTGATTTATTTTGAGTTTTTTCTCTGTCTCGTTCTTGTTCTTTCTCATTACTTTTTATAGTGTCATCGCTTTCATCGGTTTGTATCTGTTTAACTTCTTCTTCTGGTGTTTTCATACTTTCTGCTATACTTGGTGTTTCATTAAATCTATCTGTTTGTGTTCCTTTATCTGGATTATCATCAAGTATTATTGTCTTTTTATTATATTTATCTAAATCAAAATCATCAAAATTAACATCATTTAATAATATTCCTTGTTGTGTTCTTCTTTCCCTCTCCGGTAATACTTTTAATCTTCGTGTTCTTGCTTCCCTTTCAATTTGTTCAAATGTTGGCTTTAAGCGTAGCATATATTAAACATATATATTTTATACTGGTAAAAATGATTTTGCTAAAGCCGTTGCTCCAGCTTTTGCTAAAGTTTCAACTCCCGCTTTTGCTCCAGCTACTGCTATGTCTCTTAAAGGTGTTGATGATGATGATGGTTGTGAAGGTAGTAATTGTCCTACTCCACTTGATGAAGATGATGAACCCGCCGACGGTTCAACAACTTTTGATTTTAGCCGTTGTCGTATTTTTTTAAACTCTTTAATTTTACGGCTCAGTTTTTCACTGTTAAAATCAGCATTCCACTCATCCTCATTTTTATATGCCTCCATAATTGCTACTAAATACCGTTTCCTTTTTTCGTCTGATGGAAATTTTCTTACTAATTCTATAGTTTCTGTAGTTAATAAATCTCTAACATGTAATTGAAACATTAATCCTCTATAATTTATACTATCATCATTGAATACTTCATCAGGGTCAAAACCATCTGTAAATACTACTTTTTGTTCTAATGCTGTTAGTTCGTCTTCTTCTTCTACACTTTCATTATGAAAAGCGTTTATGAATAACTCCCTTGCATCGTCCATTGCTTTTTTACGTTCTGGTGTATCTGCATCAGATGATTTAT